ATTAACGTGATCTGCTTGATCTTTTTCATAATTTGTAGTTTCCGAAGATAGCTGCAGTAGTATATATACATCACCCTACATGTTCCTCTTACGATGTGACTGGCAGTCCTCCACTGAGAAGTGGGAGTCTATGTTCCCTCCCCTTGAATCTGGGCAGGGCCTTATGACTGTTTTGACCAACAGAGTGTAGTGGAAGGGACCCTTTGTGACTTCTGAGGGTAAGTCACTGAAAAGGAAACAACCTTTGTTAGGCTAGTGCTTGCATGTGCTCTGTGTCTGTCTGTCTCAGGACACTCAACTTTGGAAGTTGTTGTAAGGTAGCCTAAACTAGAGCCAACAAAAAGAGACCCATTTAGACAGCAACTGAGGCCCCCAGCTCACAACCAGCATCATTGACTATTAGACATGTGAGTAAAGAGCCTTCATATTTCTGGCCCCAGTATTTCAGCTGCGGTCTGAGACAGCATGGAACACACAAGCCATCCTGCAGTGCCCTGTTTGAGTTGCTGAGCCACAGAATTTGAAAGCAAAATAAACAACTGTTTTATACAACTAAATTTTAGGATGATTTATCTTGCAGCCATAGTAACCAAAACAAGTGATAAAAGTGAAATCACTTTGAAACTGTGAACTGCTTAACAATCTTAAGAAATTGTTACCAAAGCATGTTTTACAATCAAGAACCTCAGCTCTGGTTGGGTGGCTCAGTTGGTTGGAACATTGTCCTGTACACCTAAAAGTTGCGGGTTCAATTCTGGTCAGGGCACATACCTAGGTTGCAGGTTTGATTCCCCCTAGGGTGCATAGTGATTGATGTTCCTCCCCCCCCCCTCTCTCTCTAGAATCAATAAAAAACATATCCTCAGATGAGGATTAAAGAGTACTATTTATGTTTCAATCGTTGTTTAGACATGGGATAGAGTATAAGTGTATGGGAGATACAAGGTATCTTGAGTTTCATGAGTGATATATTTATTTTCTGGTTCTTCTACCATTGGTTTGGCAGACTCAGGCTCTGAATCTAAAACATTAGAACATATTATTAAGCACTTCACAGATAAACACTAAATGCTACAGAAGAGGAGTTCAAAATTACAAATTATGCCTGCCTATCTTTTAATTACCAAAAAGTAACTGAACAGCATTTAAATGTGCACATTCAGGTCAAATATTAAATTTTAAAATAAATAGCCACATGTGTGAAAAAGAAAGATTCTAAGGACAGGGTAGGATAACCCTGATTGGTTGAACCATTTAATAACAGTTTAACTTTCCCCAGTTCAAAGTAGGATTGACAAAATATAAGACTCCATTCTCTCTTCCATGCATTATTCATGGACACCCCCCACCGCCCCCGGGAGGTATTGAGTTCCTTGTAGATGTGGGCTGTTAGCAGGGAAACTGGATAAACTATACTGTAACATTACCGTTTCAGGCAGAGGTCTGGTATAGCTATACATTTTATTATACTTATACATATATATAGTCACCTCTTAATTGGTCGTTAAGAAAAATAACAGGTTTCTCACATAATTTTCATATTTGAGGCAAAAGTAAATAGACAAACCCCATGAAAATGAATACAAGAAACATCAAGCTCTTACACCACATATCTTGCTAAGCACTTTACATCATTATTTTATTTATGAAGAAGGTACTATTATCCCTTTTTCATAGAGACGTAAACAGAGGCACAGGACAGACAGTTAAAGTAATCTGTCTAAGACAACACAGTAAACAATAGGTGGTAGCATCAAGATTCTAATCCTGGCCTTCCTGCAAAACCCTTAACCACTGTTATTAACTACCATGTTTCACAGAATCCATGATGCACCATTATTGTACATGCCACTAAGAATAACAACAAAAACGCCGACAATCATAATTGTGCCATCCACTGAAATAGACTGATCCAGAAGTTAACTTGTGAAGAAAAGGGGTTTGGAGGTGGGGGTTGTGTCAGAATCAATGTCTATACTGCTGTCAGTACAGTGCCTTTCTGAATGTAGAAAATTATATAAGAGCTGAATAAAGAATTGAATATCACTTAGTTCTGGGGCACTCTAGAAAAGAGCTCCTTTAGGCCATACTAAAGTATCACTTTTCTAATGTTTAATCATACATACTGAATGTATTTTCAGATTAAATTACTTTATATCTTCCCAGTTGTCACCTCATTGAAATGCTGATAACTACACAGTGCTATTAACTTTAAATTAGAACTATTCAGAGGCATAGTCAGCGATAAAAACTCACTTGTCTAGTCTAAGGACTCAGAGGTGTGAATTAAAGTAGGAACTAAATTCATACCAGTAGCTCAACCCCAGGGTGCTGAGAAATTCTTCCCTTATTTTCTTTTATTCAATGTCAGGTTCCAGATATATATAATTACCCAAAACTACTTATTCCACCTGGTCTTTTTCACTCCCTCAGGCTAACTGTGAAATGCAGTTTTTCTAACTTCTAAGTGATTTTCCAACAATCCTCCACACACACCTCTTCCCCTCTTCCCCCCTTCATTTTCAAGAATTTTATTGCCTTCTTTTCTTAAAAATACTAGTCATTACAGAAAAGCCAGGAATAAATCTTAGGGAAGTCAAAACAGTTCAATAAGGGTGAATTGCTCAGGACTCACTTTCTATTTTCAGTCATTTTGTACTTGTAGGAGTGGGTGTCATCCACTATCACTCTATATTCACTGCTCTACACAAACTACAGATATCCTGATGACTTTAATAGCAAGGTACAAACACAAATGAACTAGGAGGCTATTCACACTTCAGAGGGATTTAAATGAACAAGTACATGTAAGGCACAACATAAAATATATTAAAAAAAACAGTCCCTGTGTTCCCTTTGGCTACATTCTAATTTTTGCTCGAGGTCATCACTGGGAATTAAGCCTCCATAGACAAGTACAGGTCAAGAGGCCTGATTAAGGGAAGTGAAGGAGGACAGGCTTCACGTTAAGAGCAACAGAGAGCCACTGAAGAATTTAAATAATGACAGATTTAAGTTTCAAAACGATGACTTTGGATGCACTGGATTGTAAAGTGAGAAAAGGAGATGGGAGCCCTGTTAAGGAAACTGATGCAGTAATTACAGGTAAGTAAAGATGTTGGCTTGAATTTAGGTAGTACCTAAGTGGAGAAAAGATTAAGTGGATTGGCTTAGAGATTTTAAGGGTTCGATGACTAACTGGATTTAGAGAGTGAGAGAAAAGAGAAGAATTTAAAATGAGTAATTTCTGGCTTAGGCAACTGGGAAGCTGGCAAAGCCAACCATTTAGATTCTGATAATGTGAAGAGTGAACCAAGAGGCTATTTCTAAGGAGTGAGATGTTGGTGGCCTGAATGAGGGATTGAGAATAAGTTGCTGGATTTGAGAGAAATTTAGTAAGTAAAATCAATTAAGACTGGTAATAGCCTGGGTGTGAAGTACGGATGGAAAGGAAGGAGTCAAAGATGACACCCAAGTTTCTGGCTTAAATTCTGTGGATGGTCACTTGTAGATTGTTTAATGGCCTAAATCCCTTTTATCCTGATATGTACACTTCTTTACTATGTGACTGTGTCATTCCTCCCATGCAGAGATGGAGTCTATTTCCCCACTCTTGAAATCTAGACTGGTCTTGTGATTTGCTTTGACAAATTTTGTGCGGTAGAATTGATAGATGCGATTTCTAAGACTAGGCTTTGGGGGTGGGGGGCACTGCAGCTTTTGCTCTTTAGGAATGCTGCCCTGAGGCTGCCATAAAAAAGTTGGTCTGGCCAACTGGAGGATGAGAAGTCATGTGGAGGAGAACCAAGTGGCCTTAGCTGACAGTAAGCTCCAACTAAAAATGAAGCCATCCCGGACTGAAGTGCACCCAGGTATATGAAAGCCAGAGAATGGAAGTGACGGCTGTCTAACAGTGAATTAAGAGAACACTAGTAATTGAGAGAAAGAAGTAAATAGGAAGTATACCCTGGACCAGGGCTTGAAGGTTTTCCGCTAAGATCTGGAAATCTTATAAAGAACGGTTTTATGTCTTCCCTTTAAAAAACAATTTTCATTCCTCCCCAAGATTTCTTGCCTCTCCCCTCCCCCCACCGTGTGATTTACAGATTGTTTTTTAGCAGGAGATCTGCAAAAGAAGATAACTACTCAATGTAGTCTGAAGCCAGGAGAAAGAACCGTTAGAAACCCCGAGCCGGGAAGGATAAACATCAGATGAGGAAATAAGCCACGTAGCATTCCAGCCGCAGCAGTGGCTAAGGAAACCAGTACTTCCATCCTTTCCAAGTGGCTCCCAAATGGGACCGAAGGGTCCGTTCTCCTCAGTGCAGTCCCCTCCCACTCGCTCTGGGGCTGCTGCAGAGGTGATCTCCACTCACCGCTTGAAGCACAGTCGCCAACAGCAACCTCAGCCCAAACGCCGGCCCAAGCCATCCGCTGGGCCTAGCCGCCATCGCTACCATCTCCCGTAAGTCTCCGGCTGCTCAAAGGACCCCTCAGCTAGGGTAGTCCACGCCAGAGCCTTATCTAAAACAGGCTGCTTAAGGTCGGTTGCCATCAAATCTGTTAGTCTGCAGAGAGGGATTACCCAAGGGCATACGGAAGCTTAAAGGTAATCCAACATCTTTACATTTGATATAAATATAAAGTCGTGGGTCCTTTCGATAACCCACGTCAGGCACTTTCTTAAACTCCCCAAATTTGTGCTTCTGTGGGTTCCTTCACGACATTTCGTCAAGCAGCCAAGAAGCTCCGCCTTCGACAGTTTCGGCCAGCCTCCTTCTCCGAATTTACCCAATCGCATGACGCTTTGGTTGACGCCTGTGGCAAAGGAAACCAACCGTAACATGAACCGAGAGCGAAGCGCTGGGGTTCTTCGGTCCAATAAGCACAACCGAACGGAGCAGTGGGTGGGGTCTCTGGTTGCCGAGCAGCGTACGTGGATGCGTGCGCGTGGTGGCGGAGGGGGATGGGTGGGGGGCGGGGCCGGGGGCGGCGCAGCCGCAGCCGCAGCGCTGGTGGAGGAGCGCGCGGCCGCGAGCAAAGGAGGGAGGGACGGAAGGAAGAGAGCGAGGTAGGCAGGCAGGCGGGTTCGAGGGTCGGGAACTGAGGCAGTAGAAGGAGGCGAGAGCTCGGCAGCCGCTTCGAGCTGTGTTGCAGCGCGGGCTTTTGGAGGGGGCGGCGGTCGAGTCGTCCGAGAAGAAGCGGGCACCGGCGGCACTGGTGCTGGCGCCTGGAGGCGGGGGACTGGGGAGGCAAGAAGGGGGGTCGCTGCGGCGGTTCTTTTGCTGTCGCGCTCTCCTTGCCTTTCTGCCGGCTCGGTGGGCTCCTCCCGGTGTCTCCTTCGCCTCCAGGGCCCCGCTCCCCGCCCTCCGCGGTATGTCTTGATCCCGAGCAGCGGGTTTCATGGGGCTCCTCAGGATTATGATGCCGCCCAAGTTGCAGCTGCTGGCGGTGGTGGCCTTCGCGGTGGCGATGCTCTTCTTGGAGAACCAAATCCAGAAACTGGAGGAGTCCCGATCGAAGCTAGGTGAGGAGCAGAGCCACTCCGGGCTGAGTGAATGGTGTGGAAGGGGCCGGGCCAGGGAGGCGTTGCAACCTGAGCAAGTGGGCGTTCGTCTAACCTGGGGTCTGGCGTGGAGGCTGAGAGAGGTTTCACAGAGAGCTGGGACTGGGGACATCGAGAGCACAAGCTCCAAGAATCGTGTGAATTAAGCTGGAGCGGTGTGCTGGGCTCGCGAGGTCACGGGACAGAGATTGCAAGGTTGGGCGTCCCGGAACCAGAAGGTTACCCCGAAGTAGGCATTTCACCGGGAGGGAGCAAGACAAGACCGAACTCGGTGGGGAGCGGGTACTGCTGGAAGAGACAGAAACGCTCAGCCTGCGTGTTCTCTTAGAAGTCGTCCAGAAAACCCAGGCAATGTCATGCAAGGGCTGTTCTAATTTGAGATGTGGGCACCTGGGTACAGAATCTTTTGGGGATGAGGAGGTTCATCAAGGATTAGATGCGCAGAGATGGAGGGAGATACTGGGAATGATGGTGAGTGAAAGAAATACACTGTAGTGAGTTTGCACCCTTGTACTGGGGGCAGCAAGGGGCCATACAACTGACGGGACAAATAAGCTACCTAGGTAGGACAGGAAAGCAAATAAAACGCTTCAACGAGGCACTGAAACGAGTCAACCAGGCTTTTAAATTGATTTTTAATGGCAATAAACTGATTCATATTTGGGCTTAAGATAGGTGTGTGTGTGTGTGAGTGTGTGTGTGTGTATAAAACATTGCCTCGCGGCAGTGTTGATACGAATTTGGAAGAGGAGGGAACGCTGAAGGGAAATTATTGAGATTTAAGTTCATGAAGGGAAAAAGTAGGATTATGCAAAAAGTTAACCATATGGTTAAGTAGCTTAAGGAGTTAACAACAGTGGTTACTTTAATGGGTGTAGAGGTCTGAACTACAAAAGGTGGGATAGTGAAGTTGTGAAAGACCAGAAAAGGGCACAGATTTAATAAGTACTTTCAGAGTAGTAGGGAACTTTGGCATTTGGGAGGAGCTTGGGGTGGGAAGTGGGTGTGAAAAGAATGTCAGCAATACATTTTGATTTAAAAATGTACTTGGCACTTAAAAATTCAGCCTCTTGAGCTGATTTTTTAAGTGCCAAGTACATTTTTAAATCAAAATGTACTTGGCACTTAAAAAATCAGCTCAAGAGGCTGAACATGGGAAAGGAATATGAAGTGTTTTTATGCATACGTTTTCACTTCAGCATCGTTTTTGAATACTTTTTGAGAAACAAGAAATACTAGCAGCAGTATAATTTAGACTAAGGAGTTTAAATGCTGCTGTGGGTGGTGATTAGTATTTAAGACAAATGTATCAAATAATTGTAATATTACCAATAGTCTCTGACTATTTGTTGTTTTGGTATACTTTGCATAAAGCCTTGGAGATATTATAAAGAGCAGTCTATCAAAGAGCATCAAATCTAATTGAAGTGCAACAAAAGTTGAAGCTAAGGATAATTCCTGTCCTCATCTCTAGGGTAACTTACCCTGCACAGCCTTGAAGAGATATAAAATGTATTTACTATGATTTTATTAGTGAGTCTTGTATGATGGAAAAATATCCACTTTAGATATTGAAGGTTGGTCAATACACTTTTTCTTTTTGTTTGAATCCACTTAGCATCCAGGATCATACTGTGGCCTCAATAATGATCCAGTTTTATAGGAAAAAAATGACTCTTAGAGAAATTTGAGTTATGTTAAAATTAAAATTTGTACTTATTCTTTGTTGTATTGCTGTATGGATTTCTTAGACACATGACAGTGGGTTAGGATAATCTCAATTTCTGATTTTCTTTCTTTGCCTAACATTTTTTTTTCATAATACCTGAAAGTGGTTTTCATAGACAACCTGAATGATTTTAAAAAGAGAGTTATCTGAAGATGTAGAGAGCACAGCTAGAAAATAATAGGTTCTTTTTTTGTTGTTGTTAATCCTCAAACGATATTTTTTCCCTTTTTTCTTTTTTTAAGAGAGAGTGGAAAGGGGGGGGGAGAAAGGAAGGAAGGGAGGAAGGGAGGAAAAAGAAAGAAGGGAAGGGAAGGGGAAGAAAGAAGAGAAGAGAGAAAAGAAAAGAAGTGAGAGAGACACATTTACTGATTGCCTCCCATATGCTCCCCACCAGGATAGGGATCAAACCTGCAACCCAGGTATATGCCTGGGAATCCGAACCCAACACTCTAACCACTGAGTCATGCTGGCTAGGGCTAACGTGTGTGTGTGTGTGTGTGTGTGTGTGTGATTTTTTTTTTTTTACAAGAAACTTAAATTCAATGAGAAATAATAAATATGGATGAAATTAAATAATTCTGAAAAATGAGCCATGAAATCAGCCTCAAATACAAAATACCTGAAGGGACTAATACTCTGGAGATGCAGAAGCATGGCAAATAACATGTATTTATATCAGCAGTCTTTTTATTTAAAAAGTCTTGTAAAAGACAGTACTGAAACAGATGTTGCCAGTTAGTAATCTTCTTTAGGAAAGGAAGGCAGAAGTCATAGTTTGACAACCGGACTTTGTAGTAGGCACTTCCATATGTGATATTTTTATTTAATCTTCCAAGAAGATGAAAAGAAAGCCATTTTACAGATGCAGGAACAGGCTCAAAGATTATATTACTTGACCACATAGCTAGTAAGTGTCAGGACCAGTGTTGGAACCCAGATTATATCTGATTTCAAATCAAGTGTTCCTTTAATTATCGGGCTGCTTGGGACTTAATATTAACATTACACTAAGAGTTAGCAGTTTGAATAGAATTTTTAAACTGTAATACCATGTTAATTGCATTTATTGTGAAGAATGAATATCATTCTGAGAAAATTCAATTTCTGACACAAAGGAATTGTTTAGTGCAATGTCTGGCCCTTGTTTATATCTGTATAATGAACATAATTATGTTACCCAATGAAGCAACTGAAATAGCTTATTTCTGCTACAGGAAAAAAAATCTGTGGTCATTTTCTGTATGTGTAAAGTCACAACATTAAAAATCATTTTTTAAAATGCTCACCGGAGGACATTTTTGCATTTATCTTCAGATAGAGCTGGAGGGAGAGAGAAAGGAAGAGAGAGAGAGAGAGAGAAACATCGATGTGAAAGAGACACATCAGCTGGCTGCCACCCACATGATCCCAACTGGGGCTGGGGACAAACTGCAACCTAGATACGTGCCCTCAGCGGGAACCAAACCTAGGACTCTGGTCCTCGGGCCGATGCTCTAACCGCTGAGCCAAACTGGCCAGGGCCAAAAATCATTTTTTTTTTTTTTTTTTATCCTCACCCGAGGACATTTTCCCATTTTTTTGTTCAGGTAAAGTGGGAGGGAGAGAGAGGAACAGAGAGAGAGAGAGAAACATCGACGCGAAAGGAACACATCGAGTGGCTGCCACCGCACGACCGACCAGGGCCGGGGACAAACTGCAACTGAGGTATGCGCCCTAAGCGGGAACCAAACCTGGGTCTCTCAGGACCGCAGGTTGACGCTCTAACCACTGAGCAAAACCGGCCAGAGCCCAAAAATCATTTTTATTTTGCCATTAGAAAAACTTAGATATTTTTGCTTTTAAAAGTAGTTTTTTGTGCCCTGGCTGGTTTGGCTCAACGGTTGGAGTGTCGGCCCATGGATGGAAGAGTCTGGGTTTGATTCCTGTCAAGAGCATGTACCTTGGTTGAGATTAGGTCCTGGCCCTGGTCCGGGTGGTAGAGGGGGCAAACAATCTGTGTGTCTCTCTGACATCCATGTTTCTCTTTCTCTCTCTCTCCCTCCCACTCTTTCTGAAAATAAGTGGGAAAATATCCTCAGGTGAGGATTTAAGAAAAAAAAGTTTTTTGTTGTCAATCCTCACCTGAGGATATTTTTTCATTGATTTTTAGATAGAGTGGAAGGGAGGGAGAGAGAGAGAAACATCCTATGTGAGAGAGACACATCTATTGGCTGCCTCACTCACAAGCCCTACTGGGGCAGGAGATCAAATCTGCAACCCAGGTACTTGCCCTTGACCAGGAATTGAATCTGGACCATTCAGTCCACAGGCCATTGCTCTAACTAATGCCCCAAACCAGCCAGAACTTAAAAGTAGTTTTTATTGTTTATCTTGTCTATTGTGTTGTAGAAGATTTCAAAGGATTGTATTGACTGATAATGCCTTATGCACCTCAATTTGAGAGTATTTTGATGGCAATACCCCTAATAGAATCATAGATATGCTCAAAATTTAGGTGTATTTATATATTCATCTACTAGTTGGCAAATTAAGTACATAAACGAATTCCTAAAAAAAACCAATACCATGTAATATAGTTTAAAAAACGGAATATGGGATCATTGTATACATGTTACTCCGTATTTTGCCTTTTTTTCATTTAATACTGTAGACAGCTTTCCAGGTCCATACATACAAATTTGACTTACTCATTCTAATAGCTGAGTAATATTGCATAGTTTGCATGTATCAGAAATTATGAAGCTGTTATGCCAATAATGAACATTCAGTATCCCCCCTCAGCACTCTTTTTGCTTTTTTACCATTTTTTTCCCTTGGTATTATAAGCAATGTTACAAGAAACATAAGAAACATCTTTATATGCCCATTTAGTTCCTTGTGTGTTGATATCATTTTCATTGAGATAAATTCTTTTGTCTATGGGATTGCTGGGACAAAGGATATATGCATTTTATAGTTTAAGAGTTTTAAAATTTACTTGTTAGTTCATTTTCATTTCTCTGTTGGGTGGTTGATCTTACCAATTTTTAGGTTGTTTTTTTTTTTCCATCCTCACCCAAGGACATTTTTTTCCATTTTTGTTCATGTAGAGTGGGGGACACATCATGAAAGGGACACATCAAGTGGCTGCCTCCCGCAAGACCCCAACCGGGCCAGGGATGAATTGCAACCAAGGCACGTGCCCTTGGCCGGAATCGAACCCCCGACCCATTGGTCTGCGGTCGAGGCTCCA